AAATTTTCTATGCGCGTTTGCTTTACTGGTTTTTGATATATATGATTTATCTTATGGAATCAATTTTTATATTTTTGCTTCTTTCTCAACTTTTTGATTTCTATACATGTTGGTTTTCCTTTCAAAAGAATGCGTTGTTAGTAATTTTTTAACGTGTGTTTGTTTTATTGGTTTTTCGGATGTATGAATGTCTTAAGGAATCAAATTTATGTATCTCTATTTCTTTTGCAACTTTCTACTTTGCATGCATGTCGGTTTTATTGGGCATTTGCTTTTAAATGTATGTGATGTTAGTAACTCTTCGTATACTCGTTTGTCTTACTAGTTTTTGAGATGTATAATTTGTCTTAAGGAAACATATTGATGTATTTTTGTTTCTCCTGCAACCTTTTGATCACTTTACATGTTGGTTTTGCTGTGAATTTGCTTTAAGATATGTGCATCATTAGCAAATTTTCTGTGCGTATTTGTTTTACTAGTTTTTGAAATGTATGATTTGCCTTAAGGAATTGATTTCTGATTTCTGCAACGTTTTGATTTCTATACATGTTGGTTTTGCTTTAAAATGTATTTGTTATTAGTAACTTTTTTATGCATGTTTGTTTTATTGGTTTTGAGATGTATGATTGTCTTAAGGAATCAAATTTTTGTATCTTCGTTTCTTCTACAACTTTCTAGTTTCTATGCACGTTGCCTTTACGGGCCTTTGCTTTTAAATGTATGCGATGTTAGTGACTCTTCGTATAGTCATTTGTCTTATTGGTTTTGAGATGTATGATTTATCTTAAGTAAACATATTTTTGTATTTCTGCTTCTCCTGTGACCTTCTGATTCATTTACATGTTTGTTTTGCTGTTATTTTGCTTTAAGATGTATGCATTATTAGTAAATTTCTATGCACGTTTGTTTTATTGATTTTTGATATGTATGATTTGTCTTAAGAAATCAATTTTTTTATTTCTGCTTCTTCTGTAACTTTTTGATTTTTATGCACGATGGTTTCTCTTTAAAATATATGAGTTTGTAACTTTTGGATGCATTTGTTTTATTAGTTTTGAGATGTATGATTGTCTTAAGGAATCTGATTTCTGTATCTTGTTTCTTGTGAAACTTTTTATTTTCTATGCACGTTGATTTTACTGGGCATTTGCTTTTAAATGTATGTGATGTTAGTAACACTTCGTATACTCATTTGTCTTATTGGTTTTCGAGATGTATGCATATTTCTTTATTTTTGCTTCTCCTGAAACCTTCTGATCCCTTTACATGTTGGTTTTGCTATGCGTTTGCTTGAAGATATATGCATTGTTAGTAAATTTTTTATGTGCGTTTGTTACTAGTTGTTGATAGGTATGATTTTTTTAAAGGAATCAATTTCTGTATTTTTGCTTCTTCTGTAACTTTTTGATTTCTATACATGTTGGTTTGTTTTAAAAATGTATGTGTTGTTAGTAACTTTTTAAACTCATATTTATTTTATTGGTTTTGAGATGTATGATTGTCTTAAGGAATCATATTTCTTTATCTTTGTTTCTTCTGCAACTTTTTACTTTCTATGCATGTTGATTTTACGAGGCATTTGATTTTAAATGTATGCGATGTTAGTGACTCTTCATATACTCGGTGAGATGTATGATTTGCTTAAGGAAAGATATTTATGTATTTTTGCTTATTATGCAACCTTCTGATCGCTTTACATGCTGGTTTTATTGTGCATATGTTTTAAGATGTATGCATTGTTAGTAAATTTTCTATGCACGTTTATTATTGGTTTTTTATTTTTATGATTTGTCTAAAGGAATCTATTTCAGTATTGCTGCTTCTTCTGCAACATTTAGATTTCTATGCATGATGGTTTCTCTTTAAAATGTATGTGTTATTAGTAAAGTTTTTATGCTTGTTTGTTTTATTGGTTTTTGAGAAGTATGATTATCTTAAAGAATCAGATTTCTCTATCTCTGTTTCTTCTCCAACTTTCTGCTTTCTATGCACGTCGATTTCACTGGGCGTTTGCTTTTAAATGTATGTGATGTTATATAACACTTCGTATACTCTTTTGTCTTACTGGTTTTTGAGATGTATGATTTGTCTTTAGGAAATATATTTCTATATTTCTGCTTCTCTTGCAACCTTTTGACCCCTTTACATGTTGGTTTTGCTGTGTATTTGCTTTAATATGTATGCACTGTTAGTAAATTTTCAATGAGTGAGTGTTTTATTGGTTTTTGATATGTATGACTTGTCATAAGTATCTGATTTCTATATTTCAGCTTCCTTTGCAACTTTTTGAGTTCTATACATGTTGGTTTGGCTTTAAAATGTATGCTTTTTTAGTAGCATTTTTTTTGTGTGTTTGTTTTATTGGTTTCTGAGATGTATGAATGTCTTTCAAAATTAGATTTTTGTATCTTTGTTTGTTCTGCAATTTTATACTTTCTACGTCAGTTTTATTGGGCATTTGCTTTTAAATGTATGAGATATCAGTAAGTCTTCGTATACTTGTTTGTCGTACTGGTTTTTGAGATGTATGATTTGTCTTAAAAAAACATATTTTTGTATTTCTACTTCTCATGCAACCTTCTGATCTCTTTACATGTTGGTTTTGTTGTGTATTTGCTTTGAAATGCAAGCATTGTTAGTAAATTTTCTATGCACCTTTGTTTTACTGGTTTTTGATATGCATGATTTGTCTTAAAGAATCGATTTTTGTATGTTTGCTTCTTTTGCAACTTGTTGATTTCTATACACGATAGTTTCACATTAAAATGCATGTATTATTAGTAACTTTTTATGCATGTTTGTTATATTTGTTTTTGAGATGTACGATTGTCTTATGGAATCAGATTTTTGTAACTCTATTTCTTATGAACTTTCTACTTTATAGGCATGTTAGTTTTATTAGGCATTTGCTTTTAAATGCATGCGATGTTAGTAACTCTCGTATACTTGTTTGTCTTATTGGTTTTTGAGATGTATAATTTGTTTTATGAAAACATATTTCTGTATTTCTGCTACTCTTGCAACCTTATGATCTCTTTACATGTTGATTTTGCTGTGCATTTGCTTTAAGATGTAAACATTGTTAGTAAATTTTCTATGCATGTTTGTTTTATTGATTTTTGATATGTATGATTTGTCTTAAGGAGTCGATTTCTAATGTAAATAAAAGTCTGGATTGTTAAATTTTTATTTTATATTTTTTAATTTTAATAAAGGAAAATCTTTTATTTGGTGTGAATTGTTTTTTTTTTTTGAAGCTTATCTTGTATTAACGTGGCTTAAAATGGATAGTCCTATTTTTATGGACTTAGAGACTTATGGGAGATATATGGGGCCTCACATGGAGAGAGGAGAAGATTGAGAAGAAGAAGATATTTGAATAAGAATTGAAAGATTTAAGGGATTTAGATATGAGAACGACAAATGTGGATAGATATTGAGATAACATGGGAGGAAGATAGAGAAGAGATTTACATAGAAGTTAGAGAGAGATAAAGGAGAATGAAAAGGTAGAATGTGAGTTTTAGAGAGAGATAGCGTTTGTATTTAGTGGTTTATTTATTTATTTAGAGTCCCTCATTGCAAACAGAGAATTGGATTTGAGCAAAGAATTTGCTTCTTGTGAAAAGATTTTTTGAGGTGGATTCCCTTGCAGTCCTGAGAGATGGTCATCATCGTCAAAGCCTTTTCCCAAGTAATTGGAGCCTGCTACATGAATCCTATTATACCATTCTGCTTTATTAATGGTCATACCCTCAATTAGGGCATAAGTCCTTATATCTTTTTTCAATACTTCCAACCATGTCCTTTTGAGCCTACTCTTTATCTTTTTTGGCCTTTACACGTGAATTAACTCATATCTCCTAACAAGTATTTATTAGGTTGCGCCACATATGACCAGCCCCCCCAAGTCTACTCTCTCTCTTCTTATCATCTATCCTCACTTAAATTTTCCAGAATTAATTCATTTCAAATTCTATAATTTCTTGACTTGTCACTCATCTAATTGAACATCCTCATCTCCACTACACTCATCTTATGAGTATATTGTTTTTTGACCGCCTAACATTCTACCTTATAAAGCAAAGCTTGTCTCGCAATTGTCCTATATAACTTGCTCTTCAGTTTCATTAGTATATGGCGAGCACATAAAATTCTGGTTGCACATCAATTCGCCCACCCAGCTCTAATTCTATGTACATCTTTCTCAATCTCTTTATTTTCCTAGATTATTGACCCAAGATATCGAAAGTGCGCTCTTTTTGGTAATTCTCTCAAACCTTTTTATTTTTAAGATGCATGATTATCTTAGACCTTGAGAGTGCTTTTTTTTTGGTACCCTCTCTCTGACCTTGAAAGGATTTGTCTTAAGGAATCAATTTCTGTATTCCTTCTTCTTCTTCTGCAACTTTTTGATTTCTATACACGTTGTTTTTGCTTTAAAATGTATGCGTTGTTAGTAACTGTTTTATGACTGTTTGTTTTATTGGTTTTTGGGATGTATGCTTTTCTTAGACATTCAGAAATCTGTATCTTTGTATCTTCTGCAACTTTCTACTTTCTATGCATGTTGGTTTTACTGGTCATTTGGTTTTAAATGTATGCAATGTTAGTAACTCTTCGTATACTCCTTTGTCTTACTGGTTTTTGAGATGTACGATTTGTCTTAAGGAAAAATATTTATGTATTTTTGCTTCTCCTACAACCGTCTGATCTCTTTGCATGATGGTTTTGTTGTGCATTTGCTTTAAAATGTGTGTATTGTTAGTAAATTTCCTATGCTTGTTTGGTTTACTTGTTTTTGAGATGTATAATTTGTCTTAAGGAATCGATTTCTGTATTTCTCCTTGTTCTGTAATTTTTTGATTTCTATACACGTTGGTTTTGCTGTGCATTTGCTTTAAAATGTATGCAATATTGGTTAATTCCATACTCTTTAGTTATAGTGGGTTTTGAATGGTGTTCATTGTGTTTCAGGTACCGTGGTGACTCCTAAAAGCATGGCGAATAGAACCAATTCACGTACTCGCCCTTATGGTTTCTCTGTTATGCCTGATGAAGGGAGAGAAAGTGTTCAAGTTGTGAAAAAAGGGAATGCAGCTAAAATGGCCCAATCTCACTAGAAATCAGAATCCAGAGGATATGCAGCCTAGGCAGAGACTGATTCTTCACAGTGTGAACTTAATTCTAATTCTGATTCAGTTATGATGGTTGATGTGGAGAGAAAGGAAGATAGTTCAGTGTTTGGAGCACAACCTCAATCAGTTGTCGACTTAACTGATGAGTGGGATTCAGTTGCCAGTAGTATTTCAGGAGGCAAGATGATGGGGCACGAAACAAATGATTCAGATTCTGATGAAAACCCATCGGCTTAAAAAGAGAAGCCTTATGTCCCAGCCAACATTGGGTCTTGCATAGCTCATTAAACCCGGTCTCAGTTTGGTCGACCAGTCAGCAGTGGTTCTTTCATAGCAAACAGACCCGGGGCTAGTTTTGGTCGAGTTCCTAATCAGATGCTTGGCACGGTTAGTCACCCTATCTGTATTGATGAGGAGTTGTTCGTTTCTTCTTCAAGTTTGCCACCTCCTTTCCTCATTCATCGTCTTCTTCACCTCGTTCCTCCTCCTCCTCTTCTTCTTGTGGTGATGATAGTGATGATATTGATTATAAGATGTCAAATGATGATGATGATGATGATGGGGATAATGATGAGAATGATGATGCTATGGCTGAGGTGAAGGTGTTCTGATGAGTCTACTTCTCAGAGAAAGGAAGTGGCCGTACAGCAAGAGGAAACAGGGTCGCAGACTAAAGCAAAGAGAACTTGTGGAAGGAGGAAGAGGAGTTCTGAAGAAGAGGCTAATGATGATACTGGCGTTAAAGTGAAGAAAGCATCACCGATAATTGAAAGTTTGCATCCTGAAACAGAGTTGGTTCCTGAGAGGGGTGAAGATGTTCTGAATTTTTCTTATGATGATGATCATGATGAAGAAGGCTTGCATGCGGAGACAGAGGTGGTCTTTGAAAGGAGGGAAGAAGATGTGCCTGATTGTCCTTATAGTGATAACCATAATGAGGAAATCTTGCATTCTAAAACAATGGAGGTTTCTGAAAGGAGGGGAGAAGATGTCCCAAGTTGTTCTTATAATGCATACCATGATGTTGTGAATGATAAGAAGGTGGAGGAGGCACCACCAAGGAAAGATGGGCTGTTTTGTGAAATCAGTAGAATTGGTGGAAAGAAAAAGATATCTCAAGAGGATGGTACTAAAGATGGTGGTTGTAATGAGGATCATGATGTTGCCGCTAAAAAAATGGAAGAGGTGACACCACAGAAGAAAAAGGAAATTGGTTTCTAAAAGAAATGAGATTAGTGCAAAGAAGAGGAAGATTGTAGAAGAGAATGTTGATGAGTGTAGAGATGCTGATGATACCGCTTATAGAAATGTGGGCATGTCAGCATCAAATGGAGAGATTGAACTCTAAAAAAAAGAGAATTTGTGGAAAGAGGACGAAGGATTGGCAGCAAGAGGCTGATAAATTATTCAATAATATGTTACTATTCGTCAAAAGCAAGAAAATTTACCTCAAAAAAGGACCCCAAAAGAAGATAAGAAAATTCCTCAAGTTTCCCCTATGCAGGACAATACAAACTTTCCCTTGAAGTTCTACTTTGGAGAGGATAATGAGAGCAACAAGGAGAAGGAAAAAACAGCGGAAGAAGAGGAGTTGGATGAGTTATGGAGGGAGTTTAATTTCGAGTTGGAATGCCAATCTCTTGGAAATATCAATCCTTCTACTGTAAGTGGTGTATAATTTTCAACCAAAGTTTGAAGCTGATCTATTTTTTGAGTTGAAATTTTGTTTTCTTAAACTTCATACTGTTTGTCGAGTTATTTTGCTTGGTCATAAGATTTCACTTTTTATAGAGATTACAATGCATCTTTTTCTATGCACAAACACACAGAAGAATAGGGAAAATATATTGTATCTACTGCTAATTTGATATGGTTGCCCCTTTGACATTGGAATTTTCTTTATACTCGTACTCTCACCTTTAGAGTTTTCTGCTTCTTGGATACCGATTTCAGTTTTCAGATACATTATCCTATATTTGCATTTGGGCTAGACCTAAATACTTGTGTGTAGTATCATCAGGGTTGGGGTGTTGGTAATATAAAATAATGATGTCCAAGTTACATTTCTGTGAAGCTAAACTCTTTTACTTATACAAATGAAAAAATAGAATTCAACTCACAGTGACTACATTTGTAACATTAGTTCACACCATATTTTGGCTTATTAGTCATTTTTATTTTCCAGTAAGGCATGAAAGATACTCCTTCCAAAGGTGATTCAGGATAGAAGAGATGAGTTACACATGCACACATACATACGAACACATAGGGTGTTTCCTATTAACTAACAAACCAAATATACTGGTTCTACAAAATTCTTAATTAGTATTTACTCTTAAACAGTTAACAGGGTTGTGTTTGCTCTTAGCCCCCATAGAACTAGGGAGTTCCCTCTTTACTAGCTAATAAACTACGATGACATCTCTCATTGTCCTGGTCCCATAAAATTCTTAGGTAGTAACTGCACACTTAGAGGATAATATTCTCTTCGAACCAAATTGAATCTTTGTGGCTCTGTGGAGAACTATGGGATCACTCCACTCAATGTTCAGTATGACACATCCACTGTGCTCAAGATTGGATTTCCTCAATATCTCCATCAAACATAGGTTTTATGTTTTCTTTGATTAAGCTGACTGTATTGTATTAATATAATAGGAACACAGGCTTTATGATGTTTCTTGGGGCAAATATTCTCATAATCTGCTCTAGCATTTTATATGGAATCTGATTCTGGGCTTCAGGATAAGTGAGTTCACTAGATTTATGGTTTTCTTTTCCATCATCTTGTACGCCAATTCTCCAACATACCTATGAGAAACATCCTGGCATATCACCTCGATCAATGTGTTTGGTGACTATGATTTGCACTGGAATGTCTTTCCTTCAACACATGCCAACTTGTCGCAAGAAAGGATGACCAATGCAATGTAGAATCCCTCTGATAAGTGCACACAGGCACACAAAGAAGGAAAAGTATTCAACGAGCGAACTACAATTTAAAACAGTATTGCACACCCTCTCAAGCTGTCTGATGTGGTATGCGATGGCTAAGTATGCTGTTTCTCTGCTCACAGTCCATTGATAAATTTTGACCGACTTTGAGCAGAGGAAAAACACATCCCTGCTGTCACATTCCACATCAGGCAGCTTGGGAGGAAAAAAGCAATGCACACACGATGTACAACCCTTTTTACACACTTACATACAAATATTGATATGCCCAGTGCACAAACAAACATTAATGCATAGAGGTGTTTATAACACACATAGGTATGTGCATATATATGGGAGTTGTTAATTTATACTCATTTTAGAGTTGCTAATTTACTCCTATATGGCATAAGCTAAAATGCAATTAGACACATTAATTGTGCTGCCGAAAACTGAGTACTCCCTTAGAAGTAATTTTTTTATTTGCCAGGCAAATGATGAGCACTACTCCTGCCAAAAGAAGATCTGCACTAAATTCTATGGCTTTACTATTGTTTAGAAATTGTGCTGGACATCAAAATTCTTCACTGCAGGGAAATTATGTTAGCAAATATCTAACTAAAGTTGGAGGATAATTGTCATTCCAAATTGTGGTGAAGATATGCAGTTCTCATTTTATAGAAAGTATGTTGGCAAATCCTTACAGTTATATATTATGATATAATATAGCAGACTAAAAGCTTCACATACACAGATTTATAGTTTATACACATGTCTCTATGTCTGTAGTAACACAATGTTTGATGTACACATGCTGCATCTACTGTTACTTTACCTATAATTCTATAAATATTGTCATCTTATTATGCCCCTATTATGGGAATAATGGCTAACCAAGTTCTGTAGGTGGTGTGATGACTGTCCAGTAAGGAATCACTTATGCAGTTTTTGTTTTATCATATATCTTGGGGATGAACTCCTTTAGCAGGGGATATCTGACCTGTAATTTTTTGTGAAGGGCCATGTCCTTCGCAAAATAGCATGCCTGAGGAAATACACGAGGCAAGGAAGAGCCATATTCCCTGAGTTAGGCAATATTTTGTTTTTCTTTTTGGCATCTGATGTAGTATTATGATATGTATGTGAAAAATGGCAATCTGTTTATGGCATCTTTTAGTTATTTGGGAATCAATGTTTTTTGCATTTTGAGTTTATGCACGGAGACTATGCTTTCTTTTTTAATAGGTTTTTTTGCTTTTGTCATTTTGTACAATGTAAAATTACTTGACCTTTCTTTGTGAATCTACAGATGATCTCAAACATTGCTAGTAATCTGCCAGAAGCTGAGAGCAAGTCCTCCAGTTCATGTAGTGAAGGGGGTCTCCAATACATAATTGATGATCAAATTGGCATTGTATGCAGATACTGCCATCATGTTCAACTGGAGATTCAATATGTTTTACCTCCATTTGTAAGTATAGGCATCTTTGAGCAGCGACGTAGACTTTGTGTAGGGAATGAAGTAATGTTCCAACTATCTATGAGTTCAATTACACATTTCTCACAATGATATTTTGTGTTGCTTATCATGGATTTGTTCTTTGCAGAGGACAAATGTTGCCCATAAATCCAGAAAGAAAAATTCAGATGAAGAGGCTAATACCTCCCTGTTGGGTGCAACATTTTCTCAAGAAGTGAATGCGTTCTCATACAATTACTCAACATCATCAAAGGGAACTGTCTGGGGCATGATTCCCGGTGTAAAGAACAGAATGCATGCCCATCAAATAGAAGGTTTTGAATTTCTTTGGTACAATTTAACAGGAGGCATCACTCTTGAGGAACTGAAGCCGGAAGGATCTGAAGGTATTGGTGGGTGTGTAATTTCACATGCTCCAGGCACCGGAAAGACCCTTCTAACCATTGCATTTCTCCAATCATTTATGCAAGTGTATCCGCATTGCAAGCCAATGCTAGTTGCACCTCTTAGCATGATGTGCTCTTGGAGAGAAGAGTTGAAAAAATGGAAAGTTGACATTTCTTTGTATATCCTCAATATAGAATCATTTTTTGGGGAGGAAGATGCTGCAATGAGCGAGATGGTGGCTGAGTATTCTATCGACAAGAGTTTGATGCGCTTGGTGAAGATATATTCTTGGACCAAAGGAAAAAGTATTCTTGGAATAAGCTATGACCTGTTTTCAAAGTTGACAATGGAGAAGCATAAAACAAAAGATGAAAGAAGATACAAGGAGATACAAGAGCTCTTATTTGAGGAATCAATATTATTAGTTTTGGATGAGGATCATACAGCTAGAAACCAAAGCAGCAATATCTGGAAGGCTCTTACACAAGTGAAAACTTTAAGGCGCATCATGCTCTCTAGGACTCTATTTCAGAATAATTTTGAAGAGCTCTTCAATACATTGTACTTGGTGAGGCCATTTTTTGCTGATGCCATATTTGAGACGAGGTTCCTAAATTATCAATTTTGACTGCGTAATTTGCCTGAAAAAAAGAGGGCAGCTAGAATACGAACTGCTTTTGTGTCTAAGATTGGGAAAAAATTGAGGGCAGGAAAGAGGATTCTAATGCATGCTTGAGTGTTATAAGGAAAATGGTGGATCCCTTCATACATTCGTATGATGGCTCAGTCCTTGATCTTCTTGAGCTTAGGGAGTATAAGGTTGTTTTGCTTCTGTTTCCCATTCAAGAAACAATCCCCAAGAGTAAAGTCTCTGAAAGTAATCTTTTGATAAAGAGTTCACAATTTCATCCGTGGCCATTCATCCTTCCCTACTAAAATCCCCCTCTGAAGAAGATATGCTCAAATTCAAGCTGGATGACATAAGATTCAAATGGGAAGATGGTGTAAAGACGAGATTCGTGGTCGATCTAATTCGACTATGCAATGTGGCCAATGAGAGGGTTTTGATATTCAGCCAATATATCCCTCCATTGCGGCTTCTCTTGCATCAGCTTGTGTCTTGTTTTGGCTGGAAGGAGGGGTGTGAAATTCTCCAGCTAGATAGAGATGTTAGGGATGTGGGTCTCCGTCAATCCATGATCCATAAGTTTAATGACCACCCCAAGCGTGAAGCCAGAGTTGTTCTTGTATTGATCGTGCTCAGAGGGGATAAATTTGACTGGGGCATCGAGCGTGGTTTTACTTGATCCTGTTTGGAACCCTGCTGTTGTAAAGCAGGCTATCAGTCCGGCATTTAGGCTTGGACAGAAGAAGACTGTGAACATTTACCATCTAATTGCTCAGGGAACACTGGAACAACAGAAGTACGATAGGCATGCGTGGAAGAGCTGCTTATTAAAATCAGTTTTTGGGTCAGCAGAAGAGCACAAAGAAGAGTAAGGACAGATGTCAAAGATGAGATCTTGAGGGAGTTATTTGAGATCGAGAGATGTATGTTTGAGGGAATCTACTAGATTTACCTTGGAACTTTTGAGGACTTCTTTTTTTTTCATGGACCTTGAAAATTTTGAGGACTTCCCTTTCTTTTTTCCTGATTTGTTTTTCCCTGGGGGGACAATATCATCGCCCAATTTTGTGTCATATACTCGGGTATACACTTTCTCTATTCGATCATTTTTAGTTTAATATTACTGATCATTGTCAGACATTGGTATTTGAAATACAAGTTATCTAAATTGGTGTCCTTTTCTTCTGTTTGACTTGAAATTGTTCCATGAATGTAGGAAATAATTTCTTCGGTGCATTTGTTCTTACTCTCTAGGCATGGAGTTGAAGAAATACTTTATTTACCACTAAATATTGTAGCATGCAGTTATAGAGATCATTCATGTGGATTATAAAGAGATTTTTTATCTGCCTTATTTTAAAATTGTTGATTTATCAACTATTAAATTGGCATAAAATCTTCCCTCTTTATAGTTACTACGTCCACACCAGTAACCGATAATAAAATGCTGCATTCATAAACAGAGTTTTTTTCTAAAATTGGAAGTGGCGTATCTTTATCTTTGAAGCTTGTTCTTGGCAATGTTTCTCTTTGTAAACTCTGAGATAGGCATTCTTTTGCTCTTGAAATTTATGCAGTTTAAGGATATATCGAACCATCATCCTCAATATTTTAATATGGTAGTTTATTTGTAACTTTAGAAGTGTTTTTGCATAATCCTCAAACCATCATCTAACCAGATGAAAAGTTGACACTATTGGATGGTAAGGTGGGTTTTATGGAGCTGCTGGAGGCAGATACCCCGAAAAAGAACTGATTATCATACAGAAACATGGATAGTTCCATTCTGGGTTGAGGTGTATATCTGGCTATTTTGAATTGCTTGCTTACATTTCAAAAACAGGTATTTGAAAATAGATCTATGTGAGAGTGGGTCTAATTTAGGTTAAGAATCGTGCTCTATGCCTTGGCAACATTTTATTCTTATGGATACATTAAGAAAGCATGCAAGCCTTTGATTGCTAGTTAGTTTATTTCTTTCCCTTCTGTAGTTAGACAATGCAGCCCTGAAGAAATGGATGCAGCCAAGGTGAAATGCGCTTTGGACTGGCATAACTCTATGCCAGAAATGTGCTTTGGCTGAGGTGAAATGTGCTTTGAAAACTGAAGGTTAAGCTCTATATCAATGATGAGGTGAAGACCATCAAGGTTGAGTATTGTTGATCTACTTTCCTAGAAATGAACAAGGCTTAGATACCCAAATAAGGTGATATCAGTATTGATATTTTGTGCAAAGATGGTATCTGATGCTATTGTTTCGAGCTGATAATTCAGGCTAACCTAATCCGAGGGCTCTTGATCCAACATATCTTAATGCTCCTGTACATTTATTGTTTGGGTAATTTCAGGTTGAAATTTTTTGTGTAAATTGTGTTTCTGATCATTCACAGGCCTAAGAAACCAACTTGATGGAATGTTTGATTTCACAATAAACTTTCAAGAAAAAGAGAAAGATTAACTTCATTCACACATTGCTTCTCTCCATAAGCTCATAAAGATGATAGTTTCTCGAATTATGAGGAGAAACCTTGGAATTCTGTACAGTTTTATTCACAAGAAACCTTTTCCATATCAAATGGAACACGAAAATTGGCTCTAGCCTTTCCCATTCTCTCCCATTCTGTGGTATACATATCTAAAACTTTCAAAATTGGCTGTTGTCTCTATAGTATTATTGGGAACAACGATTCCTTTTCCAATTTTCGTTCTCTCGTAGACTCTTCTAAGCTTGATTCAAGTAGCATGTAACCTGCTGGAAGCAACTGTTATATACAAATGTCTAAAAGTAAATATAGGCTTCATGACATTAAATGTGGAGGGCTACCAGATTTCTCTGAAAATTTGTGCGCTCTCTGAAGCCAAAGATCTTAACCAAGTTCAGACCAACCCATGTAGATGACAGACTGACCACATGAAATGAAGCCAAAAGAAGTACGAATATCAGGTGTTCTTTCCTACTTTGGACGACGCAGGGATATATAGATATGCTGCTAATTGAGATTTATCCATTGAATGATGTTATTAATGTGCACTTTTTATGAGGTTGGCAATGTAACTCACAGCAACCATAGGTGTATAGGATCCCTAGATTGTTAAATGAGTATTACCATATATTCAAATTGGTGGGTCAGGTATTATGAGGTTTGGATATCCTTTTATCTTGTGATCAATTTCTGTGGTATGCAAAGCATTCACCTCGATGTCAGAATGTCAATTACCAATGCTGTTTCAATTGTATTTATCTTTGGTGCTGATGAATCTCTGTACATTAAGTCAACATGAATGGTAGTAGCTTTCAATTAAACTCTTGCAAGCCTAAACGTGTGCACTAGCATTTTATAAATTCTCTCTAGGATGCCTGCTTATATACAAATGCGCATTCTGAGTTGATGTGTACTAGCTCAGCTAAAGACTCAGGCAAGTTTTTAAACTAGTGCTCTGTCGATTTGTTAAGTATTTAATAGATTGTATCTTAGAAATAAGGAAACAATTTGAGAGGCTTTGGAACTCTCTGAAAACTATCAAAATAGTCCCACCACAAAGTGTTTATGACACACTGTGGAGTGCTTTCCAACAAGTAAAATTGGCCTGCAACCACCACTAATAGGTTGAGAGGTTTCATTTTGGAATTTATATTAAAATTAAAGGTTACAAAGTATTAAAACTTACCTACCCAAACATGCTCGAAATGCTTCCCTTGGCTCTGGAGTTTCGATTTACAAATTTCCATTCTTTCAAAGTTTTAATCTTTCTTTCAAAGTTTTAATCTTTCGCTACCGAATTTGTTTTCAAATTTCTTGATGGAGAAGATCTTCTCATAAAAAGAAAAACTAAACTCCTAAGAATAAATGGTACATAAAATTTTCCCCGGGAAGAGGGAGGTTAAGACTCATTGCTGGCACATTCCTCAAGCATAACACGCATATGAGGTCACGGGCTGTGGTGAAACCATTGCAATCCATTCGGGGTGGCAATCGGGTCGCGTCCGGGTCCATGTCCCAGCGGATCACCTAAAGTTCCAAATGACTTGGACCTAATCTGGGTTGGCCTCGGGTTCGGGTCTTGGCTTGGACCCTATTTGGTCGGGTCGGGTTCCAGAGATCCGACCTGGTATGTGATATATAAAACATCTAAAATATATAAAATGTATAAAACTAATTTTTAAATTTTTTTTTTAAATTTTTAGACCTAGTCCAGGTCGGGTCTCCGGTCCAAATGAATTGGACCCGACCGAAACCTGCGTCGGGTCTGGGTCCAAGTGGAACCTAGTCAGGTGAGGTCCAGGTCGACTCAGAGCCACTCCTACAATCCATGTCTCACCTGTATTATTGCTGCATTGTCCTTGAGGTTTTACACCTGAAATGTGTCTTACCTACTTTTTAACAGCTGTGGCAATGATATTGTTGTCAGAAACACTTCCATATAGTGTCAATCCTTCAAGGATGGTAGTCATAGAAGAATGCTCTATTGACTATGGATCAATATTACATTGCAAGGAAGACATGGTGCAGATGCAAAATAAGCTTACACTACAGTAGAAATTCATTCCAAGTCTGTAACAAATTGAAGATGCAACAAAATTTGAGTTGGCAGAGAGCATTTTGTCCCTTGAAAAGTGAGGGAAGGCAGAGTGAGGCATTTGTCACATAGGAATCATGTACTTCATGCATTACTCCTCATAAGCTCTACTGTCATGATCACTTACAGATCAGTCGTTGGGTTGTCAAGATCAAACTTACAGATTAGTCCTTGGGTTTCACGTAATTAGATTCTTTCATACGCTTGTAATTCATAAGAGGATATTTTAGTAAACTAGCGACCTACATGGCACCACGTGTTTTGAGTTATCGGATTTAGAGATTTTTATTTTATCGTACCTATTGCAACCCGACCTGGACACGGACCCGAAGTCATTGGACTCGAACCTAACCCAAAAATTTAAAAATATTTATGTATTTAACTGTATTTAAATATATTTTGTATATTGAGACCGGAGTTGCCCGATCCAATTTTTGAACCCAAAACCAGATCTGGATTGGATCTAACCGTGGATCCCAAGTGAGGTCCGGGTCCATTGCCACCCCTATATTAAAAAATAAATGTAGAGGGTATAAACCTGGCATTCCGTGGTAATTGCAATTTTATTTGAAGTTTAATAACCAGCAGCGAAAACTATAAAGTGGGATGAGCCATTTAGAGATAGAGAGGGACCTGCTTTGAGAGAGGAGGGGAGAGAAAATGGGGCTCTGGGTAGAGAGAGAAGAGAGAGTATTCTGCTTAGAGAGAGAGAATGAGAAGAGAGAGTGCCACTCTGCTTACGAATTAAGCTAGCATTTATTCGAGGAATATGAATTTTAGAGAGAGAAAGGCGAGGAATTGGAGTTTACATATGAATTTCAGTTGTTGGTGGCATATTCTTAGCTTGTCATAGATGGAATGTGGATCCCTCGAATAAGATGAAATTTGCCCTAGTTTCAGTTTAGCCATGATTTGTTACTCTCCTTTAAGAGCTTCAGTTTGTCCTAGAGCGCATTTCTCTTGGTTTTCAAGACCTAGTTATTCCCAAAACTGGAGCTTGATTGAGAAAACTTGTAGAAGTTGCCGGATTAATTGTTGTACAGTCATGAAGTTGCCTGAAAAGTCACTTAAAGTAATCAAAATACCGTATTCTGTGCTTCTGGTAAGTTTCCCTAGTTTGCCAAGAGCTTCTAACTTTAGGTTTTCTGATTTAAAATTTCCATATATTTAATTAGTAATTAGAAGCTTTCTGGGGTAAATGATGAAAACTCTCTCTCTCTGTCTCTCTCTCTATGCATTTTTCTCTTCTCCGGAAGGGGTCTCACGACCATCAGGGTGTGACTTTGGGGCCCTGGGTTTAGTATGTTGTGGTGAATTATTATTATTATTATTATTATAAGTCTAAGTTTTGTAGGTAAATGGTCCATGATAGATTTATTTATTGCTTATTTTTTGTATTAGGCACTGGATTTTACACATCTTCATGGATAATCCAAATTCTAAGCTTGTAATCTTGGCCAAAATAATTTAATAGTTATACGTATTCATTGTTTTTTATGGTGCAAAGATTATTTTTCAGGATAAAGAAACATGTTTCATATGTGCATATTCTGGGCACCCGTATTGAAGTGCTCCTGGTTTAGTTTTGTTGTGCTGATATATTTTATCTTTACTCCAAAAAGAAAAAAAGAAAAAAAGATTTTGACACTATGTTTCTGGTATGTTTTGAGTTAAGAGGATATTTCAGCGTAAAAAATTGGTTGAGATAAATGGGAAAGATCACTAAATGTGTGATTTGTTCATGATATAAGAAGTTTAAGAAAATAAGCAGGGTTTTTTGTTTGGTTATTTTTAAATGTATTAGAGCCTTGTCATTCTTTTCATTGTTTTGCTGATCCTTAATTTATTCTTTCTTCTTATCTATATTCTTTTGTTCCCTGAATTGATATCCCTCTTCTAATTTATTGCATTAGGAGAAGGATCGTGATTTGTCAGAAAAGATTGAAGCTGGGTTCGGGCCTAATGGTTTGGGGATAATTTCAATTTCAGATGTATGTGGGAATCATTTATTAGACGCTATTGACTTATATCTTCATGTTCTTTTTATTTATCATTTTGTTTGCTAGAATGGCCTTTCTTCCATCTTTTTTGTTTTCTTGCTTTATGTTTTTCTTCTCTTTTTGGATCTTTGCTTAAATGTTGTTGTGGTATATCAAACTAGTATATTTCTATATTATTGTGTTACGTGGTGAAATATGAACTCTGATAATTGAGCATTTGCTCACAACACATGTGCAGCTGTAATAGATTTCAAATCACATGCATTATTTGCAAAGGTGTGGTCCCATGTTACTAAAAGTAACCTCATGCCTTTGTAAGATCTTATACATAGACTATGATCGAACATTGCTGCTTGCATGTACATGTTCATTCAATTTGATTTAGACACAGTTTGATTTAGAAATGGCTACCACTGAGTAGTCCTATATGAATTGGAAGATCGAATTCATAGTGATTAAGTTCCTCAGGTATGAGAGCCACTAGTGTATTGTCCTTCAAGTCTTGAGTAATGATTAAGTGCCAAAAGTCGAGGGCACTGGGCATTGCTTGGTTCTCCACAATGTTTTAAAACCTGGATTTGTAGGGTGGATCATTCACTCATAGATCCATGTCGGATCATTGGATCGGTGATATGGATAAATTGGTGGAATCGATGATCCAAAAGAATTTAAAAATAGATGAAATAAAAAAATAATTCAAATAGACGTTTATGGGTTGGGGATTTAGAGTAGCCCTTAGAAAACATTAAATGAGCGTAAAAAAAAGGAAAAAAAAATATATAACAAGGATTTTAGGGAAAGCAGACAAGATGAGGGAAAATACACTTAGGTGGGTTGGCCATTTGCAGGGCAAATCGAATATAGCACTGGTTAGGAGTTGCGATTTGGTTCAAGTAGAAGGCTTTAAAAGAACAAGTGGAAGGCCCAACATGACGTGGATGGAAGTAGTGAGAGAAGATATGGGGACTTATAGTCTTATTGAGGGTATGACCCTTGATAGAGCAGAATGTTGGAACAAGATTTATATAGCCGACCTCAAATAGTTGGGATAAGGCTCTGCTGGTGATGATGATGATGATGATGAGGGGGTTTTAGGGGGAATAGGGCTAGGACCATACCATTGCGAAAACTGTTCGGTCCTAACCGTTTCTTATTCGGATCGACGATCTGAATTGAAAATCGGTAGTTTTTAAAACACTGGTTCTCCAAAAGGGCTTGGAAGGAAAATGGCTAATGCAAAACCATCCTGCCTCCAAGATTGGTTTCACTATGTATTTGTGTAGGATCCTTCTGTTTTTTCCAAACATGTTTTTTTATATGCCTACACATGGTCCTTTTATCCTAATTTTCTTATCTTGTATGCAAAATTTTATATGTGCTTGAAGCATTATGTTATTACATTTATGAAGTGCCTAAATCTCCTTCATAAGTTGGGACACTGCTGAGTACTTGTTTTTGTTCGAGTATGCAGGTTCCCGAATTTTCTTTGTTACGTCAAAATCTCTTGCCTCTATCCTCAAGGTATCTATTTTCACATTTAATAGTTTTCACCAGGTCTTAAAAAATTTACAAACATGATTTCAATCAAATGGAGATGTGAGGGAATGATGTTCGACCTATGTGCAACTTTTCTTTCTTTGTTTATTTCTTCCTCTTTGATACAGGCTTGCAAATCTCCCTGATGAGATAAAGATTGAGCTTGAGGATCCAGGTAGCAGGTAATTAGTAGAAGTCTAACTAATATAAGTACTACCAGTGAATCTATTTAAATGTTCTACTATATACATGCATATATACATAACATGCATTCTCACCCACACACATGCATTCATACATTATACTGCATACGTATGAACACACACATATAGACATACATACATACATACACACTCATACATAGATTCATACATACATACATACAGATATACATAGATATATACATACACACACACCTGCATACACACTCATGTATAATCATAGATTCATACATACATACATACAGATATACATAAATACATATACACACACATCTGCACACGCACTCATGTATATTCGAGACTACAACACTAATGGTGAACTTAGAATTTCTTACGCAAGTTTTTTGACCTTAAAATGCTTTGAACTATAAATTGTTAAGAAATGACACTTAAATTTGACCATTTTTTTGACCAAGTTTCTTATGTGTTTAAAATGACTTTAAACGATAACTTGTTCATGTATTTATGAAGGATGTATTTTTTTTCATCTCAAAATCCCTCCAAAAAGCAATTTTTAACCTAAAAAGATTCCTTTGACTTTTTCAATCATGTTTGAGTTTTAGAAGCAATTCAAATTTACAAAAATACCCTCAATCAAAAATTTCAAAAAGTCATTGTTAATGTAATTTTCAAATTTTTAATGGTGTTTGACAGTAGACAAAGTTAAAAAAATTAGGAAATTTTAAGTCACCATTAGAGTGGTATAGCCTTGAATAAACCAAACCCCCCCCTCCCCCACCACACACACACATGCGCGCGCATAGATCTGTGTGTCTTTATGTATGTATGAATGTATATATCATGGCTTTAAAGAAAGCATTTTGTAAAATAAACGTTTGCTTATGCTGCATAGGTATGTATCTCCACGCAAAAACATCATTTCAACATGAAGCGCCTCTCGTTTTCACTATATTTACTTCAACTTGTTTACAAACTACTTGGTTTCTCTTTTTTTTTTGGTGAAATGAACCGTTTAACCTCCTTATGTTTAGGAAAATATATGTTCTTGGTTTTCCATTTTTTTGTTTCGAAGCAAATAATTTAGTTGTACTAGTGCGATTCAACCTTTTGAGATTTTATTCAAAACTCTTTGCTTCCGCTTTAAATTGTCTAAATGTTTTATATCTTTCTTGTCTGGTTATGGAACTCTTATTTTCCTCTGACTTAATCAATTTAAACTAATTGATGTTGCTTGTTCATATGTTTGCATGAAACGAAATCTCTAGAAAGAAGCTGATTAGTAGAGGTCATATAATTATTTCTTGTTTAAATACGTGTTTTGACGGATCCAATAATGAATAGAACTCCAATAAACTTCAGTTGGCCAAATTGCTGGCATCACAGTTTGGTCTTTGAAAGTAGTAAGAATAAATGATGTTGTTCATTCTAATTTGTTGGGAGCCTCCTATCTTTCCCAAATCGCATTCTAGATTGTATGTTAACATAATTATCTAGATATTTCATTGATTTAATTGGTGAAGCATCTTGTAGTTAAATCAATGTGTGGACCTTTTCTTGTTGTGGAGTACTTGTCAATGTTTACATTTAGTTCTTGAAATTTCTATGCATTATGTATATTACTTTTTGCAACTTTCATTTTACCTCATCATAGTTATAATTTCGGATGGAGTCATGGGAAAGAGAAGCTTGAGTCGGGTAAAGCAGGTATGTTCTTAACACCTACCTGCATGCGAACCTTCTTAGGGGGTTATGATTGATGGTCAAGAAAAAGAAAGGTTTTATATGCATGTTTGAGTTACAATTTAGATTTCCTGATGCATTACGTATATGTGTCTTTTATGTAAGATTCTACATATATGTTTTTGGAACTATATGATGACTTGTCATTGAAATTGAATATTCTTGATATCTCCTTTTTTCTTTTTTCTCACGATTGATTTCTTAAAAAATGTTGGAGCTATGACCTTTCAAGGCCTTAAAACCCCGATATTTTCGTAGTTCTTAACTTCAGTGTGAGTAAAAGAGCGACATGACTCTAGGATCTTGGTGCATTGCGACCAAGAGTCATAGAACCTTGAGAGTCATGAGGGCAGCTTACATGGATGAAAGGCACCGAGAGGATTGAGGGTTGCCTCTAGTTAGGGTTGGTTATTATTTATGCCTCATGACATTGTGATCGCCTGGGCATTTTATGTGTATGTGATTAATTGAGATATGAGCTCGACGTTTATGTGTGTGATTTAGCCCTGTATGAGGAGGTTAAGGCTTAGAGAGGACATTAGCCTAAGTCCCTGACATAAGCGACTTCTCGTAGCATGTGCATTAAGAGTCGTAAATGGGAAGCCACTCTTCCAAGATGATCCTATGTGAATAGATACGCACATGTGCCAAGAGTGGAAACCCCGCACCTAGTTTGATTTGCCACTTGTCTTTTTTGAACTATGATTGATTTCGTGACACTAGTTCGACTATTTTTCAATTTGGTTTCAACCTTTGAGGTCATTTGATAAGCCGCGTCAAGACTGAAAATCCTGTGTAGAAGTAGTCGCTTTTGAGTTTGAGGTTTTGGTTCATCATACCTTGCAACTAGCTGGTCATCGCTTTCATTGACTTTATTTTGACTCATAAGGAGGAAGAATTCATCTTTATACTTCTGGACACCCCCCTTGTGCCACAAATGATGGATCCATAGGGACAATTCTTGTGCATAACCATTAGATATGAATTTCTCTTTAACACACGACATTATTTTCCTCCAAGTTGCTGTCTTTTCTTTCCCTTTTCGCAATCGACCGACCTGCATCTGCTGCCATCAGATTTGAGCATGCCCCTTGAGTTGGGTAACCATAAATTTGACTTTCCTTTCTTCCAGGAAATCTTTCCACTCGAAGAAAGCCTCCACACTATCTAACCAGTCCAAGAATTTATCGGGCTGAAACTTTCCTGAAAATTCAGGGACATCCACTCTCACACTTTGATCTGACCTGGCTAAACCGCAGACCAACCTATCATCCAATGAAGGGTTCTCCCTTTGGTTATGGAAATGATTTATACTTTCTTCACTTGATTCTTCACTTTCAGGAGTAACCAATCTTGTTCAAAGTGGGCAAGACGACCCACCAATTGCTCTATTTCATTGAATCTCCTTAACAATTCCTCATATTTTGCCCTTGGCATAACACCTCTTCCTCCTCGGCCTCCACAGCCTCCATGTCCTCCTCTATTGGCCATAACTTCCGGTCCAAAAGGGAGGATTCCTGCTCTGAATCACCTGATGTAGAACACAGAGAAAATAGAGAGAAATAGCTCAAAACCAGGTAGAATATAAAGGATCTCAATTGTGATTTAATGACAATGGGCTAAAGCTAACAAGGCCTTGCTTCAATGGCTTGTCTAAGGTCCAAAGGCACCCCAAAATAGGCACTGAGTTCCTGAGTTTTTGGAATTTTACAGCAAAATTCATTGTTTCCAGCAGGGTAAAGTCTCCCACTTTTAATAGACTTGACTTGGCTTCTAAGTCAAAGTCCTCTTAACATTCCTAGGAACAATAATGGACTCTACTCCTTCCCAAGTCATGCAAAATACTTTGTCCAACAAATGCAAAGTTAAAGTTTCTAAGAGAATGGATACTATCCCAATGCACAATATCACTTCCCAGCAAAATTTTGAATTCAAATTCTAATATTTCCCTCTTAATTTTTGTACACTCCAAATTTTATCCCCCTGGCTTTTCTGTAAATTTCAGAGATGTCCTTTACAGGGAAAAACCCCAAAATACCCCTAAAAAACTATAGAGAAAATGCAGCCCACAAGATGTCGACAAAACTTTCTTTTATTTTTTTCAGTGTATGTGTATGTGTGTGTGTGTGCATGCGTGCATGTGATGTGATGGGATGTGATGTGTCTATGTGTGTGTGATGTGGGCCATAGGCAATGGAATTTTAAAATAAAATTGGATCAAGTAGGCATTGGATTCCAAGTGGTCTGTTGGCTTTCAAGTTTTGATTGGTGACTTTGAGTTGCGGGACTTCAAGTGCTATTTTCTCATTGTAATTGGATGGCTTGCAAGGGGTTCCTTTTTTTTTTGGAGATCGGAAGTTATTAAAATTAAATATTTACATCAAATTTATATATTTATGATAGAGTCTCTGTTCCTAGGGAGTCAATTTAGTAGTGATTTTGAGGTATATATAGACTAAGGAAACATGGTTATAAATAGGAATCAGAAGGAATAGAAGGTCTTTGCCCTCTCTACTTCATATCACCCCTTGTTCTTCATTTGTCTATTTCGTTTTTTGTGGTAAGCCATTCCATCATTTACATTTATCACTAATAAATTATTTATGTTTATGCCCTGTGCTGTAGCTTTCATGACCAGTCTTATGATTATGAACACTAAAAAGACCAGTCCGATGATTTTTAATGGAGAGTTGTCTTAGATTGGAATGATACATTTTCTTTTCTTTTTGAAACTGAATTGCAAAAGGGAACTGTTGTTCTTTGTCAAGTATCTTTCTTTGGGTTTAAATCACTGATATATGAGCCTTCCTTTGCTTGTTGAAATACCTCTTCAGTTCTTGCATATTTTTGTATTACAGATATGCTTAAAGGATCTTTCTATGCAAATCCAATCAATGATACTCCTACAAATGATGCTTCCCTTATGCACAGGTGAATTTTTAATTTTGGCTTGCTAGGGGTATAGTTTATTGTTTATTATTTTATTTGTCCATGGGCAAATTGTGTTCGAGATGATTTTATAGATTTCTTTTCGAATGTGATTTGCAAGTTCCATGGATGCCACAATGAGACATAAAAGCTTTCTAATTCCATGGGTCTTTGTTTTTGTATCTGTATTCCCAACCATGAGTCTGTTTAATGGCTTTGGTACTTCTTGATCTCTGTCTTGGTGTTCTTTTTGGAGATTTGCGTAATTAATTGTGGTGTCTCTCATTTCTAATGTGGGAACTTGCAAAGGGTGTCTGAAAGCATATTCCAAAATATCATGATGATCGGATAGAATTACGTGGGTTATGTCAAGTTCACCGCGAGATATAGGGATGGTGCAACGGCCTTGGCATGAACTGTCCAGAGTCAGGCCAAATGAGGTCCAAAGGATCCATAAGATCGGGAATGCTCATTGAAGTGATTCTTAGGCTGCCTTCCAAAAATCATGAGGTTTAGAGATATTTAAGTGGGTGATGTCAGATTCATTGTGAGCCCAAATAGGGGCATATGGCCTCTCACAGTGAACATGTACATTGGCTTTTGATCCAAAAGAGGTGAAACATTTGGGGATAGTTTTCTAATGGTGAATTAAGAATGTTGGGTGCAACTCTACCACTTGAGTAACATGGGACCAAAACGCTAGTTAGTATTTCTCTTGTTTGATTTGTTATGTTAGTTATATTCTCTCTCTATTTAATTGATAAGTATCAATTATCATACGAGATTTCATCTCTCTATTACATTTCATTTCTCTTTCATGTCATGGACCCAGCTTGTGTTTCCCTCTCTCTCTCTCTCTCTCTCCTGACATGGACTAAGCTCATCTCTCTCTCTCTCTCTCACACACACTCTCTTTCTCGTTACATGAACCAGATTGAGTTTCTCTTGCTCTTGATTTGGACCAAGCTCGGCTCTTTTTTCTCATATGACATGGACCAAGCTTGAGTTTCCCTCTCTCCTCTCTATGTCATGATATGGACCAAGCTCAAGTTTCTCTCTGTATTGTTAGATGGACCAGTACAATAGATGGATCAGTTTGAGTTTCTGTCTCTTTCTCCCCTCCTCTCTCTATTGATTTGGACCAAGCTTGCGTTTCTCTCTCTTTACATGGACCAAGCTCGAGCCTCTCTCTTGATCTCTCCACATAGACCAAGCTCGAGTCTCTTTCTCTCTCTCATACTTGAAAGAAAGAATTGTCTCTCTATCTCTCTCTCTAATTCTTCATGATAATATGTTCACATCGTGCACCATAGCATGGACGAAGCTGGACTCTCTCTCTCTCTCTTGAAATGGACCAAGCTCAAGTTCCTCTCTCATGAGATGGACCAAGCTTGAGTTTCTCTCTCTAGTGATATGGGCTAGCTCATGTCACTCTCTCTCATCATACTTTTCTTATCAAGAAAAATGAGGGATTTCTTAGAGAAATAAAAGACTAGACCGCCTTACTTATGTCTCTTGTTATACTTAATTAAGCAAACCACTTTCTTATCATCCTTCTCTCTCTCTCCCCCAAGAAATTGCGACTAGACTACAATGTCTAGAGAGGAAGAGGAGGCATGCTTACTTAGAGACAATGAAGTACTAAATCAAAAAGCTTTAGAGAGAGAAGTACTAAATAGATAATGCTTTATAATAACATTTTTAGTCCTAGATTGGTCTTGTAGTGAAATTAAGTAGGTGAGTGTGGCTATAAAATGAGACTTGAGAGAGAGAGAGAGAGAGAGAGAGAGAGAGAGAGAGAGAGAGAGAGATGGAGAGAACATATTCATGTTTAATAAAGTTTTTTATAATAATATTGCAATATTATATATATGTATATTCTATAAAATATATTATATAGACATAAGTTTTATATTATATGCATATCTAATTGAAATCGTCAACCTTGAATAACACCAACTAGGAGGGGTGATTTGGTTTAAGTGGAAGGCTCTAAAAGGGCAAGGAGACGACCCAAAAGGACATGGATGGAAGCAGTGAGAAAGGACGTGGTGACTTATGGACATGACTGAGGGTATGGCTCTTGATAGAACTGAATGGAGGAACATGATTCGTGTAGTTGACCTTAAATAGGTGGGATAAGGCTCGGATGATTATGATGATATTTTTTTTTTAATTGATTTTATATTATATTCGAAATGAATTCATATGAGGGAGCTTAGGTGTGACTTTAATATGCGATAAGATGAGAGAAAGTAGACTTAGATGGGTTGGCCATGTGCAGCGTAGACCTAATACATCATCAGTTAGGATGTGCGATTTAGTTCAAGTAGCAGGGTCCAAATAGGCAAGGGGAAGGCCCAAAAGGACATGGATAGTAGTAGTGAGAAAATATATGATGACTTTTGGTCTTACTGAGAGTATGACCCTTGATAGAGAAGAATGGAGGAACGTGATTCATGTAGCCAACCCTAAATAATTCAGATAAGGCTTGGAAGATGATGATATTTATGTCTGGTTCTTGCAGCTCCACCCGAGGTGAGGTTTGGGTCCTCCTTTGAGCAATGGGGTCCAGTTCGTGTCCTGGTCCCTCTTTGAACATTCAAGTCGGGCCCGTCCCAACTCGCTTACTGTTTTTCCAAGGTAGGGAGCATCAACCATGGGTGTATCCTAGGATCCCGCTCTTGCTTCCAACATTATGTGTGCATCTTAAGAGAGGCCCTGGATAAGCCCTCACAATGTCTTGGCTCGAAACAGGTGACGTGCAAGCCCTTATCAAAAGAACACACATTTTCTTTGTGGGAAATACTAGTTGTCATTCAACTTAGTTTCATAAGTAAATTATGAGAGGTTTGACATCTACCTTTGGACCTACAACTGGTAGAGAGATTCTTTGTGAGAGACTAAGTATTTGATTCTTAACATGCACTGGAAACTTGGATGGTTAATTTAAGGCCTTTAGAATTCTTTTCTAAAAAATCAATAGGTGAATCCAGTGGATTGGGTTAGGTGCTTTGAGATGTTTTCAGCAAGTGGTCATGATGGTAATTTTGATCTATTATCATCATCATCATTGTCAGAGCCTTTTCTCAACTTATTGGGATTAGCTACATGAATCCTGGTCCCTTATGCTCTATTAAGTGCCATACCCTTAATGAGGCCATAAGTCCCTAATGGAGGGTAAAATTAATCTTATTTTTTGTTTTTATTCAATTTTAAAAGATGTATATTTTGATTTTAGTTTTAGGGTTTATTTTAGAGTTTTTAAGTTTTTTAGGATTTTAGGGTTTTTATATTATCTTTATTTACAATTCACGAGTACTATTCATGATGCTGTTCATGGGTACTGTTCACCCGTTACTGTTTATGGGTATTGTTCACGTATTACTGTATATAGGAGTATTTTTGAAATTTTAATTTTGTTTAGAGTTATTTTAGAGTCTGAATTGTTTACTTGGGTTTCAAGTTAATCTAGAGTTTTATAGGCTTATAAAAGGTTGGATGTCACATTTTGGGAGACATGGGAATGCATTTTATTTTATAAAGGAAGAAAGTTCATCTCTTGGCTTGATTTGCAACCATGTTCTTTCTCCATTAATGCTGGTTTTACTTGCTTAAGGTTCAGGAAAAGGGTAGATTCAAATTTCCACCCTTCTTTCCTGCATCAAATGGTATCAAAGCATGGTTCAAAGGTGACACGAGATTGCGATGGCTGGTCGTGGAGGTCTTAGCCGTAGGGATGCTGATTTGATCTAATTGCCCAAGGAAATCAACAACTTGACGGAAAGGGTTATAGAGCTATTATTGCCCAAGCGAGGCCAGCAATAGCATGCCCTAAATGAAGAGGAATCTATGGGGATAGATCCAAATCGTGAGGGTTTTTATGGAGAATGACGCAAATTAGAGTCCAACTTAGACTTGGACTGGAATGATGGCGCTACCTTCAACCACCCATTCTATGCACATGCTTTGCATTGGGAGCCTCATGTTCGGGAGAATAAATCATGAGTTTTAGTTGATCTACATGATTTGAAGGAGAACGAGGTTGATTTTGGCGTAGGTCGTATCGAATATTAGCAGGTTGTAGATTGGGATTTGGCACCTGAGTTTTTGTATATACTTAGATGATGAACAAGATCTGGTAAGAGAGCCAATCTATAATGATGATCAAGATTTTGTGGGTGAGCCAATCTTTGACGAATAAAAAGACGATGATCTTAAGAATATCAAAGAGGTGGAACATTTAGGGGATTGAAATCAAAGTAGTGCAGTGGAAGCATGGTCAACTCAAAATCTGCAAATTGTGGCCCCGGTTTCAGAGAGTATATGAGATAGATGTCGAGAAAGCCCCTAAACATAGAAAGTTGAAGTTTTCTATACGATTTTCAATGGGAGCTCAAGGATAGTTGAATTCGATAATTTTGCATCGATTCCTCAATGTATATATATGAGTAATGATCCTATGAGACCCTTCCACACACATATATGTAGGACCTCAAAGGATCACCATTAAATTTGGCACAAATCTCTAGAAAAGTTTCACATGGGCATGGGACTGACTTTTTT